CTCACCTTACTAAACCTGGATGGAGGTGGGAGGTCCTTGGACTTCCCACAGGTCAGGGAACCCTGATTGCTCTTTGAGCTGATGATGGAGAGGGACTTGATCGGGGGAGGGGGAGGGAAATGGGAGGCGGTGGCAGGGAGGAGGCAGAAATCTTTAATAAATAAATAAAAAGAAGAAAAAAAGAAAAGAAAATATGCATTGAGTACATGATCACTTCACAGTATGTCTTTCCTTTGCAGATTCTCAACAAGACATATTCACAACCACTACAGAATCTAAAATGAGAAAAAAAACTGTAGTAAATCACAGATAAAGCAGGAAAAAATTGTCTAATGACTAATTGATCTATGAAAACTGATGCTCATGGAGAGAAATTATGAAAAAGATTATGTTTTAGACATAAGATATTTGCCTTATCTTCTATTTACTATTTATTATTTGGAGGAAATATAAAAGGTATTATTTCGTGTTCGAAATGTAAAATACAGAATCTGTAGTGATCTTGCTGAATATTCAAAAACATTTTATAATGCTATTAATGTAACTGATTCTATATGGATTTGGACGATTGTAGAACAGCAGGATTCAGAAAAATTTAGAATTACAGCTCAATTATTTGTTCTCAAGACAATGGAAGCACAGTATTTGGTCAGATATTATGTTACTGTCAGTCCTGTAGTATAAGCCCACTGTGCAAGCTGTGTGAAACTCACTTCTCTAACCATGGAACTCTTGTTCCCTGACAGGGATTTTGTGAAAGAATTTCCTGTGTGCAACTACGAATTTTGACTTTTTGTGTCCTTCCTGTCTCAATTTGGATCATCTAACAAAATCCATTGACATCATTTTTAAAGGCATTAATATAAAAATATTGTTCTGGCAGTCATGGCCCAAAATTTTTTTCAAAATGCCATCCCCCATGGAGCTGTAATTTCCACAAAATTAAATGATGTCATGAAACTACCTGAATTCTCCTCATATATATTTCTGAACCAAATTTGATCACATGCATATCAGGTGCACAGCCATAGGGGAAGAAAGTGCCCAAGATTCCCCAGAGGTGAGGTATCAACTGGGAAATAAAGGAATCATGAATACACAAATAGCCTCTACTTTGGCTGCAGAAATAAAAGCAGATGGGAAAATATGGGTACCCATATAATATGCTGATCTGAAGAGCACTTCACCACACACACTGCCCAGGCTTCAAGGAGGACAAAGATGTTTGCTTTGATTTTTCTCTTCTTTTTCCTGAACATTCCACTTCTTGTGTCCAGGTTCACTCAATCCAGATGCTTTTGGAGAATGAATGAGAATAAAGACAAGGATGAAGATTTGGTGACAGGTTGTGTCTTCTTCCTTAAGACAGAGAAGCAGCCTGTGGAGAAAGATTATTTCAACCATATTCTGAATACACAGTAAGTTTCTTTAAATTTTCTGTGTAAATGTCACCATAAATATTTCATAGGGGGTCAGAAATATATGTACAACCACAGGCCTTTATTTTTATAAGATGGTGTTCACTGTCTCTTTAAAGTAAGAAATTTTGTTGTATAAATGATATGTTTGCATTCTTTGAAATATGAGTTGTCACTAATAGTGGTGACTGCTTCCTTTTTTTGCACTTACCTGAGTGGCAGCTGCAGCATATGATACTATTCAATACTTGAGAATGTTACCTACTCGCTCTTTGCCATTATTTAAGAAGCACATGTCTCTTCTCTATAGATCTAAACTGGTTACTCACTGTCAACACTATCTCATTTACATCTTCTTTTTCTCTTCAATAATTGTACAAATTATAGCTTTGTCATTTACCAATTTGTAAACTATGCACTTTTGATTTTGTGTATTGTTGGTTATTCTTTTCAAATAAAGCACTTGGATCACTATGCCACCCCCAGAGCTCAAATCACTGACAATTCCTAATGTTTAGTGTGCAGGAGTTAGTGTTTCACTTCCATAAGTTCTTATCTCAAATTCATGTAGAGTATTAATGAAACTTTTGATGGCATTTTCTGTAAGGTAGTAACAATTATTTTAAGATTGTTTTTTATTTCAACATGTAGAGGTAAATATTTATATTTATTCATAAAGATACCACAAAGGTAAGAAATCAAACTAGAAAAATAGATTGTTTTTAAGTCTGAATGTATCATTCAATATGAAAGCAAATGTTTGAGTTTGTTGTTTATTGTTCATATGATAGATAATATGTAAGAAGACATAGGAGTTATTATTTATTATTAGTAGTAGTAATAGATATTATTTAAGGGTAAACATGAACACAAAATGGTATTGTTGACTATTAATATTATAAAAATTCATAAATATTTTCTGTACATTGCACATTTTATATTATTGTACTTTACAAGCTTGTAAACTGGCACAAATGAATCTCACTGCAATTTCCAGATGTACATAATTCTCAATTGCATGCCAGTGTTGTGAGTTTGTAACTGGAAATGTAGACAAAAGGTGCTCTGTACAAGAAAATTTAAGTTGTTCAGCTATACCAGGTACAATTACATCAAACATACCTACGTAAGCATTAAATACTTGGACAATATTGTGGTTTAAGCCCTTAATCTCTGCATTGATGAAATGGAGTAGGTTTATCATTATGCATTCAAGGCCAGTGGCAAATAAAAACCAATTTTACTGAAAATTGTGAAATCCATTCCCTTTTATTGTCTATATGAGTATTTCTCATGTCCATACACAAAAGTCAATTTATTTACCAAATGTAGTCTGATAGTTAAATGTATTAAAAATTAAATATTTAAAGAACATTCTGTCCCTTTAATAGATAAACCAGAAAGAAAAAAAATACAAGATAGTTATGGTTGACATGAGGGAATATATTAACTATATTATCCACTAAATATGAAAGAATTATTAGTACAGGAACCAAACATTACCCCCAAGAGACTACTGTGCACTCACCTGTCATTCCTTGAATGCATCATCCAGTTAAGTTTGTTTCATAAAACTTACCTGAATCTTGGCTGATGCATCATGTGTACTTTTAATATTGCTCAATTATTTCAAACTGAATATCTGATGAGGTTTTCTGTATCACCAAAGCCTGTATCTTTTATATATACATTGTGAAAGCACTAAAAATCCAGAGATGCATGGCTTTTTCCGTGAAAGTTGCAAATGGCTCATCTTATTTATGGGAGACTTACTTTCATGAACTTTTAAAGTATTTTTAACCTTCCAGTAACTTATGTCATTCCAAACTCACAACACAGGACATTTGCTTCAATTATTGAGGGAGGTTGGGAATATTGTCCAGTATGGGATAATCCTTATTTTTACTACAAATAATCATATGTAGATCTATGTCCATAATAAACACTGTTGCCTTTTATAGAACAAGAACCTTGATCTTTTACCAAATATATGACCAGTAGTACTATCATCATAAGGCCAAAAACACCAAACCTTATAGAAGAGAAAGTCAAAAGTACATTTGAATGCATTGGCAAAGGAGACCACATCCTAAATATAACCCCAGCAGTACAGACACTGAGAGAAACAATTAATAAATTGGACCTCCTGAAACTCAATAGCTTCTGTAAAGCAAAGGACACTGTCAATAATATAAAACAACATCCTGCAGAATAGGAAAAAAATCTTCACTAACTCCACATCAGACAGAGGTCTGGTCTCCAAAATATACAAAAATCTCAAGAAATTGGTCATCAAGAGAACAAATAATTCAAATCAAACTTTTACTCAAGTTCCTCAAATATGTGGAGGATTTGTAAAGCCTTTGCACCTCAGGAAACACCATTCTTTCCAGCTCAATAGATATCAGTTATGCCCTTCCTCACTCTGGCTATTTAGCTGTATTTTTCTTTATAATATGTCATGCTTTGTAGTGCTGTTTTTTAGAGTACATGTGTGCTATCTGATATTTTAAGAGCTAATCTCCTATTCCAGATATCTGTTCATCTTAGCTTTCTGTGAGGTTGCTGTGATTAAATATTGACCAAAATCTTATTGAGGAGAAGGTTTGATTGGGATCATGAATTACAGCAAAGAAATGACAAGGTAGGCAGGCATACGGAGACTGCATCTAAATCACAGAATCTGAATGAACATAGCTTACTGGTTTTCTCTGAATTCTCACACAGCCCTGACTAGGGACAGCACTGCCAAAAGTGGGCAGGGCAGTCCTATATCAATTACCCATTAATAAAATGCTTAAATAATTTGAAAAATGGTGCCAGGTACCACAAAAGTAACAGACTGTGCTGTTTTCTGGGATTTTGTTTTTTACTTTTTTTTTTAAATGGAGTGTGCTGGATGTCTCTACAAGTTTGTTCAAATGATTGCAGAACCTGGAAAAGCTGTTGCTACTATTGATGCATAACATACTGGTATTGTGTATTTGAATTTTGGGAAACTTTAGCTGTGCTGTCAACTTTGGAAAAAAGTATCCCAGTTTACCGTGTTGAGTTGGCATTGTACAGAAATTAACAGCCATATTGGTCTAGAAATGTTGAACTTAATTTTTTCCCATTTGTACAGGGGTAGCGCACTGTATTAAATATGTAAGGTCTTATCTACGTGGGTTTGATTACAAAAACTAATAAAGTATTCTCTAAATAATGAAAAAAATAATTTGACAGCAGGCTAATTCAATAGAGAGAAATATTTTAGTTAAGGTTCACTCTAACTTCTTAATGTACTTTGTGTCACTGTGATGAAAATTAAGTAGAAAAAACACTTTGTAAGCTCTACATTGTTTGTTCATATAAAAAAAAAAACCATTCCTCCTAAATTTTTAGGTATGGGTAGCTACTCAAATTTACATCAGTTTGTTTCCATACATTTGCATGTGTGGTATTATAGAAGATATTAAGCTTAATCTGATAACTCTTTTGGTGTATATAAAGTTAGCTAATTGGTATATCAACATGATGATAAAATATAGTTATAGAAGTAGGTAAAACTCCTGACACCAGCATGTATCTGATTTTTCCCAGATGCCACCCTCTGTGTGCAGTGCTGATTGTGGTCCTGGATTCAGAAAATTCTGGCAGGAGGGAATGGCAGCCTGCTGCTTTGATTGCAGCCCCTGCCCACAAAATGAAGTTTCTAATGAGACAAGTGAGTGTTTGCTAGTGAGATAAATCCTTCACATCACATAGATCATCTTCTCTCAGTCTTACTGAGTAGATCAAATGGACCAAAAGACAACTGAAGAAATAAAATATATTACTTTCCTAAGTTAATTTTTATAGGACTATGATTATTAACAAACTCATTTTTAAAAAAACTTGTTATACCATTATAGTGGCATTTCAAATGTATTTTAATAAATAAAAACTATCTGAAGATCTAAGAGTAAAACAATCCCACCAGTCAGCCTTACAGACCACATTATGGTAACATACACCTTTAATCCCAGTAGCCATAATGGCATGCATGTTTAATCCCAGTCACTACCCTACCTGATATAGAAATCAGGGGGTGCATACCTTTAATCCCAGTGCTATATGCCTTTAGTCAGAGCCTTAGAGAGGAAGATGGACAGTTCTCAGACATGGTCTGTTAGTTTTATGTATTAAACATATGTTTTATTTTTGTATATTGTATACAAATTTTGAATATTGATACCAATTTTGTATATGGATACAAATTTCAGATTAATTTTGTGAAAGCATATTGTACATGCATTTTGAATCTTGTTCAAGGTATTGTACCTATACAGCTCACTTAACAATGTAATGCTAATTTCTAGGCCTTGAAAATTTGTATTATCAACAGTTTAGGAAAATAGAGCAGAACAATCTATTCCAAAGAACATAATGGATAATGAAGAAACTCCACAGGGAGTTTACTTCCCTTGTTGCAAAAGTAAGTCACTGATAGAAAGTAAATTAGCTATAAGCCTTTGGACTCACCAGGATAAGCTACATACTAAATATTTCTTTCTCAATATGTCAATAGAAAATGGACTCGATATTGTGGATATATTTCTTCCTTGTATATATTATATATAGTCATTGTACTTATTGTATATAGTTTTATATTAATTATAGCCGTTTTATTATTTTTTTGACAAAAAGGTAAATGTAGAGGCATTTCAACTGTACTTTAATAAATAACGACTGTCTGAAGATATGAGGGTAAAACTTACTTTTCAGCGTTATAGAAGAGATTATGGTAAGAAAAAACACCTTTAATCCCAGTAGCCACCCTGGTTAATATAAAAATTGGGTTTTACATGCCTTTATCCCAGCGTTGCATGCTTTGAATCCCAAACATAGACTGAAATATAAAATGGGGTGGGAAGATAGCTCTCAGACAGTTTCTTTCTGAGATTGCCATTTCAGGCTGAGGTCAAGGTAAGAGCCAGTGACTGGGTGTTTTGCTTTTCAGATCTTCAGGTTGAACCCCAATTTCTGACCCAGAGTTTTTACTAAGCGTGCTTCATACCATGACATACATCTTTGATTCCTTGAAAGTCTGTATTAGCTGGAGTTTTCTCAAAGAAACAGCTTTGACAGTCATACAACATAGTGACCGAATTCTACACAAGTGTGGAATGTTCTATAGATGTCTGTTAAGTCCATTTGATTAAAAACATCTGTTAGTTTTCTTATTTTTCTGGTAAGTTTCTATCTGGTTGTCCTGTGCATTGGTGAGAGAGGAGTGTTGAAATCTCCTCCTATTAGTGTGTGGGGTTTGATGTGTGATTTGAGTTCTAGTAATGTTTCTTTTACATATGTCGGTGCTTTTATATTAGGGACATAGATATTCAGGATTGAGACGTCATCTTGATGAATTTTTCCTGTTATGAGCATAAAGTGCCCTTTTGCATCTCTTCTGACCGATTTTAGTTTGAAATAAATTTTGTAAGATATTAGGATAGCCACAAGCACTTGTTTCCTAGGTCTGTTTGATTGGAAAATCTTTTCCCAACCCTATACTCTGAAATAGTCTTTGTCTTTGAAGTTGAGGTGTGTTTCTTGTAAACAGCAGAATGTTGGGTCCTGTTTTCATTACCATTCTCTGAACCTGTGCCTTTTTACTGGTGAATCGAATCCATTGCTATTAAACCATATAAACGACCAGTGGTTCTTAACTCCGATTATTTTTTTTGGTGGTAGTGTTTGTGTGTTTCCCTACTTTGAGTTGTGTTGGTGGAGGGTTGTCAGATGTCTGTGCTGTTGTGGGTATTGTTGGCTTCCTTGGGTTGTGGTTTTCCTTCTAGTACATTCTGTAAGGCTGGGTTTGTGTATACATATTGTTTAAATCTGTTTTTGTCCTGGAATATCTTGTTTTCTCCATCGATGGTGAAAGAAAGCTTTGTGGGGTATAGTAGCCTGTGCTTGCATCCATGGTCTGTTAGGGTCTGCAGCACATCTATCCAAGACCTTCTGGCTTTCATGGTTTCCTTTGAGAATTCGGGTGTAATTCTGATAGGTTTACCTATTTATGTTACTAGACTTTCTTCCTTTGAAGCTCTTAATATTCTTTCTTTATTCAGTGTGTTTTGTGTTTTGATTATTTTATGGAAAGGGGATTTTTTTTGATTCAGTCAATTTGGTGATCTCTAAGCTTCTTGTACTTTCATAGGGTAGGCCATTCACAGTGAGACCATTTACTTCCCGTTGCCTATGGATCAAAGACCTAGAATACTCAACTCCCTCTCCAGCACCATGTCTTCCTCCATGTTTGCATGTCCCAGGATCATAATAATGGAATTAGCCTCCAAACTATAAGATATCCAATTAAATGCTATTGAAGTCCAGTGAGCAAAAAAGGTGTTTTATGACTGTCCGAATTAACCTGTTCAATCAAAATTAAATTATTTGTCCTATCAGGGGGTTCTGCTTTTACCTTTATAAACTGCTATTTTCATACTGGCCACACCTGTCTCCTCTAACCAGAGACAGTGCTATGTCCTCCTTGACCAAAACCCCTTTCCTCCTCTCTTTTTGACATACTCCTATTCACTATCTATCTCCTGTCTTTGATTCTTTTTCCCTACCCATTGTCCTCTTGGACAAATCAATCTCCTTTTAGTTGACAACTTGATCCTATTATTTTGTTCCCTACAGATTCTGTTTCCTGTTTCATATATATCAGGGTGTTCGGGCTGGTGAATTTATATTAGAAAATGTATCACATAGCTTGTCATATAAAAGACATGATCTCCATCTATTTCAGGAAAACCATTCATAAAACAGAAAGACATCAAAAATCTCTGTAACCCCGGATTCTGAGATATTAAAATACACGCTGTGCAATACAGTGATTAATCATTTTAATCTCTGTAAACTCAATAGTTTCAGTCAATTCATCATAGCATTTAGAAAGTACTGAAAATATCTGTCTTTTCTGATAATATAAAATGGTATCATCAAGACATAGTTAAATAGAAAACATTATTTTATTTCATTTCCCATAAATATAATGAATATTCTGAAATGAAAGTATTGCCATGCAGCTGGGTCTCTCAGCTACGTCATCAGCAAAGATGTAGACATTGCAATGTTTACTCAAAACACTGAATCGAAATATTCTGTCAATAAATCGCAGAAGTTGTAGTAATCATGCTTTTCTCTGTCCAGAAGATGTGGATAAATGTGTGAGGTGTCCAAAGGACCGGTATTCCAACAGAGAGCAGAACCAGTGTATTCAAAAAGATGTGGTCTTCCTGAACTACAATGACACCTTAGGGATGGTTCTTACCTTAATGGCCTTGTTCTTCTCTGCATTCACAACTGTGGTTCTTGGGGTTTTTGTGAAGTATCATGACACTCCCATTGTGAAGGCCGACAACCAGAATCTCAGCTACATCTTGCTAATTTCACTCATCTTCTGTTTCCTGTGTCCCTTGCTTTTCATTGGGCATCCCAACTCAGCTGCCTGTGTTCTGCAACAAATCACATTTGGAGTTGTATTCACTGTGGCTGTTTCCACTGTATTGGCCAAAACAGTGACTGTGCTGCTGGCTTTCAAAGTCACAGTCCCTGGAAGGAGGATGAGGTATTTTCTGATTTCTGGTGTTCCCAACTACATCATTGCCATCTGTACGCTAATCCAAATTATTCTCTGTACAATCTGGCTGCAATTTTCTCCTCCTTATATTGACAAAGATGTGCACTCTGAGCATGGCCAAATCATCATTGTGTGCAACAAGGGCTCAGTTACTGCATTCTACTGTGTCCTGGGATACCATGGCTCCCTTGCATTAGGGAGCTTCCTTGTTGCATTCTTGGCCAGGAATCTCCCTGACACATTCAATAAAGCCAAGTTACTGACCTTCAGCATGCTGTTGTTTTGCAGTGTCTGGATCACCTTTCTCCCTGTCTACCACAGCACCAAGGGAAAGATAATGAATGCTGTGGAGGTCTTGTCCATCTTAGCTTCCAGCGCAGGCCTACTGGGATGCATTTTTATCTCCAAGTGCTACATAATTTTGTTAAGACCAGAGAGAAATTCTCTTCAAAAGATAAAGGAGAAAACATATTCCTTTACACACATTTCATAAATTGTAACTGACAACTACAGTACTGGCACAGAACCACCTAATACAATACAGTGTAAACTGTATGAATGGCTAATGATTCTCATCATTTCTTCTAATGAGGAGGCACAGCAGTGTCATGTATATTACTTTTCTGTACATTGTCATCTATAATCATCCACATAGCCACTTTCTTTATCAGATCCATTTCTTTTTTTTCTTTTTTTTTATTGCGAAAAGAAGAAAAAAAAACATAAACAAAAAACAAGTTTCCACCTACTCTCAGCCTCCCATTTCCCTTCCCCTCCTCCCACCCTTCTCCCCCTCCTCCCACCCTTCTCCCCCTCCTCCCACCCTTCTCCCCCTCCCCCAACTCCTCTCCCCCTCCCTCTCCAGTCCACAGAGCAGTCCGGGTTCCCTGCCCTGTGTTAAGTCCTAGGTCCTCCCCCCTCCGTCCATACCTAGGAAGGTGAACACCCAAACTGGCTAGGCTCCCACAAAGCCAGCACATTAAGTAGGATCAAAACCCCCTGCCATTGTCCTTGGCGTCTCATCAGCCCTCATTGTTCGCCATGTTCAGAGAGTCCGGTTTTATCCCATGCTTTTTCGGTCACAGTCCAGCTGGCCTTGGTGAGCTCCCCGTAGATCAGCTCCACTGTCTCAGTGGGTGGATGCACGCCTCATGGTCCCGAATTCTTTGCTCATGTTCTCCCTCCTTCTGCTCCTCCTTGGGACCAGGGAGCTCAGTCCAGTGCTCCTGTGTGGGTCTCTGTCTCTATCTCTATCCATCAAAAGATGAAGATTCTATGATGATATGCAAGATATTCGTCAGTATTGCTCTAGGACAGGGTCATTTCAGGTTCCCAATCCACAGCTGCCCAAGGAACTAACTGGGAACCTCATCTTGGGCACTAGGGAGCCCCTCTAGGGTCAAGTCTCTGGCCCACCCTAAAGTGGCTCCCTTAACTAAGAACCGTGCTTCCGTGCTCCCCCATCCAACCTTCCTTCATCCCAATCCTCCCCCTTCCCCAAGCTCCCCCCATTCTCCCCCTCTCCCCCCTCTCTCCCCATCTCCCCTTACCCCCATCCCACCCCACCCCCAAGATCTCAATTTTCTCCCCGGCAATTTTGTCTACTTCCCATAGCCAAGAGGACAACTATATGCTTTTCCTTTGGTTCCCCTTCTTACTTAGCTTCTTTGGGATCACCAAGTGTAGACTCCGTGACCCTTGTTTATGGCTAGAAACCAATTATGAGTGAGTACATCCCATGTTCATCTTTTTGGGTCTGGGATACCTCACTCAGAATAGTGTTTTCTATTTCCATCCATTTGCATGCAAATTTTGAGAAGTCATTTTTTTTAACGCAGCATAGTACTCTAATGTGTAGATATTCCACACTTTCTTCATCCATTCTTCCATTGAAGGGCATCTAGGTTGTTTCCAGGTTCTGGCTATTGCAAATAATACTGCTATGAACATAGTTGAACAAATGCTCTTGTCATGTGATAGGGCATCTCTTGGGTATATTCCCAGGAGTGGTATTGCTGGGTCCAGGGGTAAGTTGATCCCGAATTTCCTGAGAAACCGAAACACCGATTTCCAAAGTGGTTGCACAAGATTGCATTCCCACCAGCAATGGATGAGTGTTCCCCTTCCTCCACAGCCTCTCCAGCAAAGGCTATCATTGGAGTTTTTTATTTTAGCCATTCTGACAGGTGTAAGATGATATCTCAAAGTTGTTTTGATTTGCATTTCCCTAATTGCTAAGGAGGTTGAGCATGACCTTAAGTGTCTATTGGCCATTTGAACTTCCTCTGCTGAGAATTCTCTGTTCAGTTCAGTGCCCCATTTTTTAATTGGGTTAATTAGCATTTTAAAGTCTAGTTTCCTGAGTTCTCTATATATTTTGGAGATCAGACCTTTGTCTGTTGCGGGGTTGGTGAAGATCTTCTCCCAGTCAGTAGGTTGCCTATTTGTCTTGGTGACAGTGTCCTTTGCTTTACAGAAGCTTCTCAGTTTTAGTAGGTCCCATTTATTCAATGTTGCCCTTAAAGTCTGTGCTGTTGGGGTTACACATAGGAAGCGATCTCCTGTGCCCATCTCCTGTAGGGTACTTCCCACTTTCTCTTCTATCAGGTTCACTGTGTTCTGACTGATAGTGAGGTCTTTAATCCATTTGGACTTGAGTTTTGTGCATGGTGATAAATATGGGTCTATTTTCATTCTTCTACAGGTTGACATCCAGTTATGCCAGCACCATTTGTTAAAAATGCTTTCTTTCTTCCATTGTATACTTTTGGCTCCTTTATCAAAAATGAGGTGCTCATAGGTTTGTGAGTTAAAATTCGGGTCTTCTATACGATTCCATTGGTCAACTTCTCTGTTTTTATGCCAGTACCACACTGTTTTCATCACTGTAGCTCTGTAATAGAGTTTGAAGTCAGGGATGGTAATGCCTCCAGAAGATCCTTTATTGTATAGGATTGTTTTGGCTATCCTGGGTTTTTTGTTTTTCCATATAAAGTTGATTATTGTCCTCTCAAGATCTGTGAAGAATTTTGATGGGATCTTGATGGGGATTGCATTGAATCTATAAATTGCCTTTGGTAGAATTGCCATTTTTACTATGTTGATCCTCCCAATCCAAGAGCAAGGAAGGTCCTTCCATTTTCTGTTATACTCCTCAATTTCTTTCTTCAATGCCTTAAAGTTCTTGTCAAATAGATCTTTCACTTCCTTGGTTAGAGTTACCCCAAGATATTTTATGCTGTTTGTGGCTATTGTGAAAGGTGAAGCTTCTCTGATTTCCCTCTCTGCTTCCATATCCTTTGTGTATAAGAGGGCGACTGATTTTTTGGAGTTTATCTTGTATCCTGCCACATTACTAAAGGTGTTTATCAGCTGTAAAAGTTCTTTGGTGGAGTTTTTGGGGTCGCTTATGTACACTATCATATCATCTGCAAATAACGAAAGTTTAACTTCTTCCTTTCCAATTCGAATCCCTTTGATCCCCTTATGTTGTCTTATTGCTATTGCTAGAACTTCAAGTACTATATTGAAGAGGTATGGCGAGAGTGGACAGCCTTGTCGTGTTCCTGAGTTTAGTGGGATGGCTTTAAGTTTCTCTCCATTTAATTTAATGTTAGCTGTCGGCTTGCTGTATATAGCTTTTATTATATTTAGGTATGACCCTTGTATCCCTAATCTCTCCAATACTTTTATCATAAAGGGGTGTTGAATTTTGTCAAATGCTTTTTCAGCATCTAATGAAATGATCATATGGTTTTTTTCTTTCAGTTTATTTATATGCTGGATTACATTGATAGATTTTTGTATGTTGAACCAGCCCTGCATCCCTGGGATGAAGCCTACTTTATCATAATGGATAATTTTCCTAATGTGTTCTTGGATTCGGTTTGCCAGTATTTTGTTGAAGATTTTTGCATCGATGTTCATGAGTGAGATCGATCCATGAGTCAGATCCATTTCTTGAACACTGACACATAGGAGATGTTTTCCTTTATTTCACAATTGCACAGTAAGATTTGACATAAACTCCCAGTAATACTATTGATATCTGAGTGAATGTGGGACTTTAAATGCAAATGAAAACAGAGAAATCTTATAGTAGAATAAAAATTCTTTCAGATGGTGGAACAAATTTTCCCTCTTTTATGGAAATAAAAGAGAATCGTGATTTATCCTTTGAGTAACAAGAGTAGAATTTAGGAGAGAGAAAGAAATGTTTTAATAAAGAGATATAAAGGATATTGAGAAAAATAAAAAGGTGTCCCAGAATTTAATGTCATATGTGTTTTCTTCACGGATATGAGTTCACTATCCATTCTCCGAAACTTGCAGTTGACACTTTCCTATAACAATAGCTCCAATGAAAGGGTTGCACTCTTCTTGCTTTCAAGGACATGTACATTCAGATATGCACATAATAATACACTCAAAAAGCACAATATAACTAGTTGAAATTAAATTATTTTTAAATTTATGAATCTCTTATTTGCAGATAATATAATAACAATGAAAATTAAATTTTAATTTTAAATTACCTGAATTTAAATATGGTGCAATTAAACAATACATGCTTATATCATACATGATACAGTAAAGAACAATATATAAAATATCTACACAATTATTTTCTATTGATTACATTATGGTAATAGAGACTTTTATGAAATATATATCTCATTTATTGTTTTGAATAGGAAAATATAAAACTATATATTCTGTATATTAGATTCAATATACTGAATTCATAACTATACTATTTTTACTTTTTAAAACAGAAAAGAAAAAATAAAAGATATCTATCTATATTTATCTAGATATATGTAAACATATAGATAGATATCTTTCCGTGGTAAATATTAGACTTTGACAAACTTAAATCATGAAACTGAAATGCTTTAACAGTAGTTCCCAGAAGATGCTAAGTTAGTGTGATGACCACTTGATTTTGTCTGTCACATGAGTTTATTTTCTCTTTTTGCTGTCTTCCTGTAATATTTGGGCATAGAAACACAGCCCACAGATTTTCCTATAATGTTCATTGTTAGCTCTGCATAATACAACTCTTTCTTCTCCCCTCCCTATTGTGAGTATAGATTGTATTAAAAGATAATGTTCATCTTAAAATTGAATTTTACAAAACAATGAAATAGAACACTGGTTTTATTTTTTTCCTTCATCAAAAATATTTTTCCACATAATATCCCTTGGTTAGGGCTTCTCCTGCCTTTATTTCTTTATTCTTTTCTAATACTTTCTATAACCCCTTTATGTTATCTTATCCATCCCTTTCTATCTCTCATTGAAAAACCATTTCTACAGGGAAGAAATAAAAAAATATACTAAGATTAAAAAAGCTAAATGCATTATGTTAGGTCAAAATGAGGAAACATAAAGAAAAGATCAAAAAAATAGATGGGAGGGGGCTGGAGAGATGGCTCAGAGGGTAAGAGCACTGACTGTTCTTCCAGAGGTCCTGAGTTCAATTCCCAGCAA